GATCCTTCCATACTAACGAACTTCCACACTAATCATCCGAACCCATTCTTGCTCCCAGAGGTTGAGGCCGTCCCTGTCGTCATCGTTCTGTGTGGTCTTCAAGAGCTGTCCGTGGAGGGGGAGGGGTTTACTGTCACAGATGCTACACCATCGTCCACACCAGACCCTTCAGCTCCACCTACTCGTTCAGCATCACCCGAATTCTAATTAACCGCACATACATCAGCTCATCAACTGTACGCATAATAACAGTCACACTTCCCTTCTCTGTTGTCCAGTCTCGTTGATCCATACCGCTCTACTTACCTGACTCCTTACCTGTGGTTCGTCCTAAGTTCTCCTCAATGTCATAGATCCTGATAATTCCCTTATTGTCTGTCCTGATCATCCGTTTGCCAGTTCGTCAGCATCTGCCAAAGACGAAGACTATTATTCAAGATAAGTTCAACAAAATCAGCAGCTTCCTAACTTCTCACCTGATTGCTCTTCTGATCTCTGCTATCTGCATTAACAAACCTCTATGAATCATAGTACCTGTGTTGTCTCCTTCTATCCGCTGACAAGGAAGGAGATGAAGATCACTGAATAAAGGCTTTAATTTCGGTTTGTTCCTTGCAGTCTTATGGATTCTAAAGGTTTAAATTACAGCTAATGAATAAAATTGATTCCTTTTGTGATTTTATGTTGCGTTTTTGGTGTATTTTATGGTTTTAAAGTCACAGCATGACAGAAAAAACACCTTTTGTGTCCCACGTTAAAAAAATTACATGATAAGTAATGGTTAAACGATTACAGAAAGGTTATTCATTTTAAGGTATTAAGTTGATGATACATGGGACAATATTTTGAACAATGTTGCCGAGCGATGTTGCTTGAACACTTTCCCGTTAAGAATGGGCAACAAATTTCTATCTGGATACTTCAGATCAGTTGTGGGCCCTGTGTCTCACCTGGCTGCCTGTTGACACTGCCCAGCAAAATTTGTTTATTGTTCACCCTTGATTAGTCTCCCCAGGTGAGTCTTATTAACTTGCTAAGCTTGTTAGCAGGCAGTGTATAAATAGTTTATGTTGGTAACACTTTATTTTAAGCACCAATTCTCAATATTGCCTAGTTGCTTATTAGCATGCATATTACTATCATATTAGCTGTTTATTAGTGTTTATAATGCACATATTAATGCTTTATTGTACATGACCATATTTTAGACTTATCCACCCCATACCTAAACTTAACAACTACCTTACTAACCAATAAGCAGCAAATTAGGAGTTTGTTCAGAGAAAACTCTTAATGGTAATTAAATAATTAATGTGTTAATAGTGTCTAGTTAATAGTGAATATGTGTTCCATATTCTAAAGTGTTACCTCATTGTGTTTTAATTTAAAAATAGTCTCAATTAAATTTTGATACCTCCATGACCAATTTAAACAATAAGTCTGAGGATATCTATTTACAAGAAGAAAAAAAAAACCTGTGTTCTCCCAACAGATTATTTGAACAGGAATTTCACTCTTCTCTCCTGAGTTATGTTTTGTTTTGGCCATGCTTCATTGTGTTTTGGTTCTGTCTTCTTTGTTTGCCTGTATGACCTATTTTCTCAGTTTAATATTTTTTTTAATGGAAGAATATGCCATTTACATGTTATTTTATATTCCTTAAATTGTTCTGTACTTGTCAGTTATTAACCTTCTGTTTCAATTTGTTTATAATTTTCAAGTAATTCTGTGTTTAAAAACATATGCCATCTTGTGTCTGATTTTTATTTTTACCTCAGTAGCAAGCCAGGTCCCAGCATCCTTCATGGCTTTATGGGCTGGTGCTGCTGGTCAGATACAATGTCCTCACACAGAGAAGGAATGGAGGCCTTGGTCCAATCAATCAATCAATCAATCAGTCAGTCAGTCAATCAGTCAGTCAGTCAATGTTCTGATAATCATTTACATTGATGGAAAGGAACAATTAGGCTAATCAAGCATCCGCACAAAGCCCTCGGCCTCTCTGATAGTTGGGGGATAAAAGATCCCAGAGTCTATGATGATCTGAACATATGCCGGCAAATCAATGCCAAAAAGAAACGAGTGCACCAGTTATGTTTATGCGCACGGTAAATTGCTTCCGCGAGAGGAAACGGGAGCCTTTTTGAACACTCGCGCGCTCATCACATCAACTGTGTGCAATACAAGCCCTCGCGAGCGAGGATTTGTCTCATCGCACACGTGTGATCATCCCCCTCATTCTCACGCTCTGTATTTTCTCACCTGCTTGCTTTTGCTCGCGCGAACACTTTTATTTTTGTCAGTCATGGACAAACTTGCTGTTTTAATTGTAATCTCAAACGCCATTGGTTACTTCCCCTTTTTCGGAAGTCAGCTGTGATTGGATGCCTGTGAAAAGGTGATCCATAATTCACATGTGACCTGAGACATGGCTTTATCAATGTACCAGATACATGTAAATTGACATTTATTATTTTTTTTTTATATAAATATATCATGGCTGTTTTAATGAAAATTAATTGCATACTTTGTCAATAGAATAGATCTTTAGCAGAAAGTTCTTTAACATAAATGATTCCGTTTACTAGTGATTGCAATCTTGTGATGTTACGAAGATAAAACACGACATAAACACTTTTTAGAGATTGTAATGACACGTTTCCACGGTTATTAGCATGTTAAATCTACCAAAATTGTTATATTTAAATTTTTCATACAACACAATGCTTTGGGTTATATTAACTTCGCAAAATACAAATAAAATAAAATACAACTAATAGTCAACTTGTTGCTATAACTCAAATTAACTGTAGTTCACCACTATATTACCACTATATGCTTGTCCATTAAATAAAAGTGTACATAATTGTAAATCCCAAATTGGTTTGTATGTTCTTTGTATTTTCAGGTTATGTACTTGAATGCAGCAGCGAGGGATTGTATTGCGTGCACAGGTGATGTGATGTGCGTGCGAGTGTTTAAAAAGAGCTCGCAGGCTCCTGTTTCCTCGCGCGTGGATCTGTTATCCTCTTGCGGAAGCAATTTACCTTGCGCGTAAACAAAACTGGTGCACTCGGTTCTTTTTCAACTTGGTCAAGCACAGAGATTCGCTTAGGTGGCCTGGAGAAGGCGGCAGAAAATCTACCAAGGTTGGAAAACGTGACAAATCTTGGGAATGTGTGATGTCGCTGCAGCATGATGAGGTTCAGCGGACGCGTATAGCAGTGTGCATAGTGAGCACTTCTGTAGTCATCCATTGTGTTATGTTGCACTCATTACAGTAGTCCCGTCATAAGCTTGGGGCAGTAATTTTGGCCTTCTGTCCATTTGGGAGTATGATGCTTAGCCTGTCCAGAAGCATTGTAGCGATGGTGTCAGTCATTGCATTCTGGATGATAATGAATTAAAACAAACAAACAAACAAAAAAATGCTCTTGGATGTTACTGTTGTCATCAATGTAGCATAGTACAAGTATCAGCTGGCAGTGAATGTGGATAACACCAGCGGCCTTTACTTCCTCCAGAATGTGATCCTTTAGCACTGACAGCATGCAGTCCAACAAATCGTTTTGTACTGCCTTTGATGTGCCTTTGAAAATGGTAGCTGTCTTAAGGTGTCATCTAGTGATGCAACACAATCCACTAATCCCCTGAAAATGCCAGGGTTGTCTGAGTCAGTCTCGTCATGCCCACGCAAGGCCAGCTCAAAAGCCTCCCAAAACTTCACACAATTGATTATTTTGGATAAAATATGCCTGTTTTTATCCACCTCCTCGTTGTGTTTTCTTATCACAATCCTGTGGCCGTCGTCCAGCTTCATAGCAATGTTTACTCTTCCCAATATGGATGGCTTGCTTGACAGAATTATCCAAGTGTGCCCTTGCGTTCTCATGTTTTCTTACTCAGAAAGGTGCTTCATATCTTTCACTCCCGTAACTGTTCATGCTGGATCTGTTCCCATTATTTTAAACAGCCAGCCTGGAAAGCAAAGTAAGTTATTAGCATAACTGCACCCACATAGCCAGGCCTTTTTGGTGTACCAACTAGTACAGAAGCTCCACATGTATGGCTTTCCTTTTTCGTTGGTTGTCTTAGTCATGTGTCTTGTTTCCCATTGGTTTGTTCATGTCATGTGACCCTCCTTGTTTGCTATAAGTAGCCCTCATGTTGCCATTGTCTCTTGTCGTGTATTGAAGTTGTAACCCGCTGTCGGTGAGTCTAGTCTGTTTGTGTCTCGTCAAATCTGTTCATGCCTAGTCAAGTCTGTTCATGCCTCGTCAAGTCAAGTTGGATTATTGTTTGGATGTTTGGATTTCACCTTGTTTGAAATAAACTGCACGTGGGTTCTTCACTACGCTCGCCTTCAGTGGACTGATTCGTTACAGCTAGTCTGCTGTCTGATTAAGAGGTCAGGTTGATCTGGGCCCAGCTTTTTTACCTTCAGTTTTTCTGCCAAGGTTCTCCTCTCAAACAGACTGGAGTAGAGATTTTACAGAGTTAGGTTTCGGTCTGGAAGCAGTGACAATTGCGTTCACCATTGTCATATAGTTAAAACTGCACCCCTACAGATCAGTCTAGATTTTAGCAGTAGCTCATTAGGGGCAATAAATTAATCACCCTTTTCTGATTAGATTCGAGGACGCTAATTGACTAAAATTTTATGTCATGTCTTGATTATGCATATAATTTGCAAAGATGACTTCCTATCATATCATTAACATAAACATTTAAATTTTGTGTGTGTGGCTCAAGGAGGATGGTACCCTATTGCCCTCTACTGTTCAGCCACCACTGGTCATTTGTTTGTTTGTTACTTTCAATAAACTCTGCATCTAGATCCACGTACTTGCCCGCTTGCTTTACCTCCCGAACACTACATCAGTGTCTTTCTGTGGCTGTTCTACATATGGTGTAAAAGAGTGATTTCAAATACAGAAAAGGGTAAAAGAAAAACCTTTTTATGATGTGCAAATGCTACAAATTGTCTTGTTTCTGTGCAGACTGATCTTTGTGAGGTCATCTTGGGAATAACTCTAGAGGAAACTGAATGCCACATTGTGAATCCCAAACCTTTAGATCAGTGTACCACTAGAAAGGAATCAGAGACGGTGAGCTGAACATCACAGATCTTCCAAACTCTAATTTCAGATTACTGCCTTTTTCACTCCGAAGAGAGTGACTTTTGTGAGTTGTGCATCCATTTAACAGCCTTTTCATGTCTCCCTTAAAGAAAGTGACAGCAAAATGTAATGTGACCGTGTTAAGTTTTGAGGGAAAAGCAGTTGTGGCGTGCTACATCTGTGACACCAAACCAGGTGCTGTAAACAATTTAATAGAATAAATATATATGTATTTATATATGTTTGTATAATTAGACACTTGACTTACATAGGCATTTAAAGAACCCATAGTAATGTTTAAGGTCACTTTGTCAGAGTACAGAAAAGGTAATGCAGCTCCTATAAATACGATTCAAATAGTGATTGTATTTTGCTCCTGTTTTTGGCCCAGATTCACATGAAATACTTGTGACAAAATGCCCTGACTGCCCCAGTCTACTGCCATTGAATGACCCGAAGGCTCTGGAGAGTGTGAAAACTGCCCTGCAGAAATTCAACAAAGAATCGAATCACAAGTCTTACTTTAAACTGTTGGAAGTGGGAAGGATCAGCACACAGGTAAAGTCTATCAAACTTGGGTTAAACTTAAATATTTTATGCAAATTCATGAGCGGAAATGTTTCTTGCGACACAAGCTTGATTACACGTGCCATTTTATTCCAAAGTTGAATCCAAACTGCAAGGCCTTGATATACTCCCGGCGAAGTTATTTTTTGTTCTTTGCTTAGGTAAAAGAAGTTGGAAATACCTGAGCAGCGGTTTACTGTTAATGAATATCCCCACACCACCCATGCTGCAGCATTTGTAAATATGAGCTGCGTGCTTTTCTCTCAATAACAAAATAAACAAAACAAACATGACAGTGATGAGAAAACAGCAGTTAAGAAAGCATCTGATCATAGCGATGTTTGCACCAGCTTGACAACTCTGCACATCAGTCAAGTCATGTTTATTTATAATGAACTTTATATAATAGATTGCTTTACAGTATTAAACATGAGAAATCAGTGTCACTTTCAATTAGAATTACAACTACACTGTAGAAAAAATTACGTAGTTTTTACCAAAAAAAAAAAAGGTTTTGTAAATACAGATAAACTGTAAACATTTATAAAACCGTAATTTACAAACAAGAAAATCAGAATGTAAACCAGTAAATTTTAAATCTGTTTTTGTACCTTTAACATATAGTGACAACCACCATAATAATGCAGGTGGTAAATGAGAAAGCCAAATGAAGAATCAAAGTTCATCACAAGTAGATTTTCCACAGATATACACTAATATAAAGATAAGTCATTCACGCAAACACAAAACACCATCATAGTCACACACAACACTTAAATAATGCAATAAACTTTCATTAAACAACAGCAAATGTAACATAAAACCCTAATGTACATAACTGAAAACAAAAACTATTAAGAAACATGAGTATATAAAACAAAGTATTTAAAAATACTTTCAAATGTGGAGTGTCACGCAGGGAATTCTGGGAATATCAGTTTACAGTGTTTTACTGTAAATTATACGTTGATTTGTTCTTTTTTTACTTCTAAAACAGTATTTTACTGTAAAATTACATGAAATGTCTGGTTTGATCTTTTACAGTTTTCCCTGTATATAGTATGGGAACTTACTGTTAACCTATTAATAGTTTTTTTTTTCGTAGCGTTTTTACAATATTTTAGTGTTAAAATAAACTCCAACTGAATTGTTTTATTCCCTGTGAATACTGAATTTATTGACACAGACAATTGAAGGTAAAGGCCCAGACACACCAAACCAACATTAAAAAAACTTGTGGCAAGAAAAGCTGACTATGTTGTTGCCTCAAACATCTGCGTCTGGGCCAAAAAGTTGAGTTTGAACACACTGCAAAGATTACAGGCAATGGACAACTAGCACATATGTTCTGTGCCTGCATGAATGGAAATAATTCCCCAAAGTATGTTCAGTTGAATAGTATATGCTTGCTTTGCATCTGAGTAGATGTTTCTGGCCTCACACAGGAATTCTGTTTTATCAGACATTACTGTGACATAAACAGACAACTTTTTGAATATGGTCATTATGTTGTTTGCTTGTAAGTGGTTTGCATGTTAACAGAATATTTGTCTATTTTCTTAGTGGATGTTTTCAGGTCAAGACTTCTTTGTGCAGTTCGCCATTACTGAGACAAACTGTCCGAAAAGGGTGGCATACCGGAAACAAAAAGCATGCAAGGCTTTGTGTGGAGTTAAAGCTGTAAGTGCACATGTTCATTACTTATGTCAGACTAGTGGAAAGAAAACATCCAAAATACACATTGTTTGTTGTAATACACAAGTGTTTATTTTATTACACTATTTGTGTCTGTAGATTTCAACTATACCATACATACATATACCATACATAACAATACCACAAATATACTATACAACAAAGGCTGTTTTCTCAAATTAATTTTTTTCTCATGCACTGAACCAGAAATCATCTTAGGGTTATGTACATAACCTGTTTCCCTAATGAGTGAATGAGATGCTGTGCCATGATGGTTGATGCTATGGGAACACCTTGAGTATGACTGGTGTTTGAGACATGTGTGAATACATGGCAATCTTGTTTGGCAACGGTAGTCATATAATGTCACTGGCATTCCAGCATAAAGGGTGCCCACGTAAAGCCACGGTCACACTAATTTGTGAACATACAAAATTTTTTTGGATACTGCAATGTTTGTGATATGGGTAACACACTGCCTAATAAACAAACCCTCAGGGAAGCAAGCCGACATACTCTTGCCAGGCTGCTTCCTCCAGTCTAAGGAATGGATAGGGCAAATGAGAGAGTGGGATGCAAATACCATCCTACTACCTCTCTGCTATGTAGCCCTTACTAGCTGATGCTTGTTATATGTATTTTTACATGGTTCTAACAAGGAGGTGTGCTGACACCACACAGCGACCTCCAGCCAATGTGCTGGAGAGGGTGACACAAGTTGGATACTCATCCATTTTTCTATTCTGTCATTTGACCCGTTCCTTGTAAACCCTGAGGAAGTGTGTAAAGACAAATGCATCCAAATCTCATCAGCTCACAGTGATGGAGGGGGGTGACAGAGAAAGTGGGATGTCAAAGTCCCCTTTTGTCTCTTTTGTCTCACCCATTCCTTCAGTAAGTATGTCAACATAGTGTAGATGTAGATGCATCTATCACCTCCAGCTTTCACTGCTGGAGGGGCCAACAGAAGGGCAGGTGGGATGCTAATGGCAACAAAGTCCACTTTTTTGCTCTATCAATTTGCCCATTCCTTATAATCTTTAGGAAGCATGCTAACATAGGTGTATCTACGTCCAAACTATCTCCTCCAGTTTATAGCACTGGAGCATTGGAGTAAGATGAGGAAGTGGGATGCAAATAGCGACTCTGCTTCACTCCTTGACTCTTAGGATGGGGAGCGCGGGCAGCCACGCTCACCTTCTGACCCTCCCTCCAAGAACTACGACCTGATTCCGGGTCAGAAGTGTTTGTGGGTGTAACAATGTTCATCGTTAAGGTCAGAAGGAGGCAGGGAACCGGCAGACGCTTAACATAAATTACATTCCAAAATAAACAAACAACGAAAAAACAAAAGTAAGCGGCAGCCCCTCATGGACGACTGCCACACAAACATAAACAAAAGGCAACATAAAATGTCCCAGGTCTGGTCGTCTCTTGTCCTCCACCATCGTCATTCCTCTTATCCTTCTGGAGCTCCTCTGTGGGACTTGAGACTGGTGTGTGGTGCAGCTGATGTTACTCATTGTCATTTGCTCCACTGGCCCCACCCCACTTGTCACACAGGAGCTAAAGCACCCTGACTGTGGTGGAGAATTAACCTTTTGAATAGCTCGCAAGTGACTTTTGTCATTTTTTAACCTGGGACATCTTCTTGAGAGCCGAATATGGTTTATTCCTCTGGGGTCTGAGGGGGGTTACCTTAAAGACAAAGGGCCTTCCCCTAATGGGCCATCAGTGTGGAATGTGACTGTGAGGCAGGTAAGAAAGAATGTGAGGAGATTAAGAGAATTGGTTTCTTTGTTTGTTTGTAGTTTATTTACAACACAGTTCATAATATAAACAAAATTTAAATAATGAAGGTCAAAGGCACATAATTGAGCACACTGATTTGAACACCGAGACTTGAACAGTCACACACCTTTGTGCCATTCCTAGAAACAATTGCTGTTCAACTGTAAACACAAGTGAACCATACCTGGTATTTCCAAGGTGTTTGCTGCTTCTTTTGTCATTCACTGAAGAAAAAACTGCCCTGCCATCAATAGTCAGTGAGGGAGCTCACCTGCACCATGATCATGTAGAATATCAATCCAATGTAGCGGAACAGCTTGCTGATGCTGACATCTGACTAGTGTTGTCACGGTACCAAAATTTCAGTATTCGGTACCAATACCAGTGAAAATCCACGGTTCTCGGTACCAATTTCGGTACCAAAGCAAAACACAAAAACATGCTAATTAAAAAATTTGTCTACTTTCATTTAATCCATACTGTGTACATATTTAATTTTAAATGGATTTTGAAAACCTAGAGCTATTCAGCCAAGGATAACAACTAAGTTAGCTAAAAAAAAAAAAAAGCACAGAACTGCTTTTCTGACTGATATGACACAAACAATGTTAACCATTTGTACATTCTCTAGCACGCATATTTTAGATTCACAAGTTTTATTTTCTAGGAAGATGATTAATAATAGGTGGGTAAATGTATATACAGCTCTGGAAAAAATTAAGAGACCATTGCAAAATTATTAGTTTCTCTGGTTTTACTATTTATAGGTGTGTTTGAGTAAAATAAACATTTTTGTTGACAACATTTCTCCCAAATTACAAATGAACATATTGTCATTTACAGTATTTATTTGCAGAAAATGACAACTGGTCAGAAAGAAAACAAGTTCATATTCATTTTTAAACAAAACAATACTAATGTTTTAACTTAGAGTTAACTTAGAGTTTAGAGTTCAGAAATCAATATTTGGTGGAATAACCCTGATTTTCAATCATAGCATTCATGCGTCTTGACATGCTCTCCACCAGTCTTTGCTGTTGTGTGACTTTACGCCACTCTTGGCGCAAAAATACAAGCAGCTCATGTTTTTTTTTTTTTGATGGCTTGTGACCATCCATATTCCTCTTGATCACATTCCAGAAGTTTTCAATGTGGTTCAGGCCTGGAGATGTTCTGGCCATGACAGGGTCTGGATCCTGTGGTCCTCATTCCACACCTTGATTGACCTGGCTTTGTGGCATGGAGCATTGTACTGCTGGAAAAAACAATCCTCAGAATTGGGGAACAATGATAGTACTGCAAAAATTGACAGCAGAACAGAGAACAAAATTTATGAGTGCATAATGAAAAGTTTGGGAACTACATTAAGGAAAGAGTATATTTATTTGCAATGAAAAGAGTTGTTATCAATAACACTATTTTTGTAATTAAGAAACAATCTTAGCAGGATTTTTTTTTGCAAACTTTTATTTTTTAATTACAATATAATTAGTTTTGCTCTTAAACACAGTATGTTTGATTGCATAAAAAAGACACAAAAGTAACTCCATATCTCTCTCACTCGCTCGATTTCTGGTATTTTGTATATAATTAGCGTGCATTGGGGAGCCGCAAACAATATGTGGGAGAATCCCGACCTACTGGCAGAGGTGGAATGTCCATCATTGTCACATTTGAAAGTTGTATATTTAAAAAAAGTTAGTACCGCTGGTACATTTTGCTGCTCACAGACAGTGACACTGATGCTTTGACTGAGTAGCAAAGTACCGGCAAAATGTGAGAAGTGCTGGTAACTGCATACTGGTGCATACCGGCCCACTTCGAGCACTGACCATGACGCAGTGTTGAGCTCCCTCCACATCAGTAGCACTTACATGTACCAAAGTTAACTGTTTTTTTCCCCTATCTTAATATGTTGTATGTTGATGACAATATGTTGATATATTATTCACCTGAGTTTTCATATAATTTTATTCAGAAAAATATATTAAAATGTAATTTTTGTTTTCAGGCTGTTGACAGTATTTTCTGATTTATGGAGTGATAAAAAGAGATATAATATCTTAGGTATTTTATATATTAGATTAGTTATTAGATATATATAAAAAACATGAAACAAGTATTCTGAACCTGGCCTTATTCAATGTTCAGATTTCTGTTCTGGAAATATATATAAAATAAGTGCATATTCAATTAGATAATGCATCATTTATATATTTAAATGTAAAATTTCAGAAAACTTGTAATACAAACCGATTGTCTTAATGTACTGTGACTGACCAACTGGGAAAAGTATGGTGATCATTTTTTTACCCTATTCACCTGTAGTGTCGTAACAGCAGGCAACTTCATTAAGTCTTTACATTAAAGTTTTGTCAAGCTCTATAGTTTTAAATAACTGTCTCTTTCTCCAGCGGTATGGGTTCTGTAAGTCCTCCAAGGTTGGAAATGAAGAACCAGAAGTGGAATGTGAGATTTACAAAGCTCAGGTATAACTCTCTCTAACATAATCTTCATTCAAACCAGTCAGACCAAGTTAATTTGTCCTGACTAGCTGTATTGCCTTTGTTCTAATTATTTCAGAACATAACTCATCCAATGAAACACCCTGCTCAGTCAAGAAAAGACTGTAAATTCCATGGCTTCCCACCCCCCCACTATCCAGGACATAACCTGCCTCACCCGGAACATGCAAGCCATGAGGACAAGGGCGGAGACAAAAGGCCTGACCGAGGGGGCCGTCCAGAACACGCAAGCCATGAGGACAAGCGCAGGGATCAAAGGCCTGACCGAGGGGGCCGTCCGGGACACGCAAGCCATGAGGACAAGCGCAGGGATCAAAGGCCTGACCGAGGGGGCCGTCCGGGACACGCAAGCCATGAGGACAAGCGCAGGGATCAAAGGCCTGACCGAGGGGGCCGTCCGGGACACGCAAGCCATGAGGACAAGCGCAGGGATCAAAGGCCTGACCGAGGGGGCCGTCCGGGACACGCAAGCCATGAGGACAAGCGCAGGGATCAAAGGCCTGACCGAGGGGGCCGTCCGGGACACGCAAGCCATGAGGACAAGCGCAGGGATCAAAGGCCTGACCGAGGGGGCCGTCCGGGACACGCAAGCCATGAGGACAAGCGCAGGGATCAAAGGCCTGACCGAGGGGGCCGTCCGGGACACGCAAGCCATGAGGACAAGCGCAGGGATCAAAGGCCTGACCGAGGGGGCCGTCCGGGACACGCAAGCCATGAGGACAAGCGCAGGGATCAAAGGCCTGACCGAGGGGGCCGTCCGGGACACGCAAGCCATGAGGACAAGCGCAGGGATCAAAGGCCTGACCGAGGGGGCCGTCCGGGACACGCAAGCCATGAGGACAAGCGCAGGGATCAAAGGCCTGACCGAGGGGGCCGTCCGGGACACGCAAGCCATGAGGACAAGCGCAGGGATCAAAGGCCTGACCGAGGGGGCCGTCCGGGACACGCAAGCCATGAGGACAAGCGCAGGGATCAAAGGCCTGACCGAGGGGGCCGTCCGGGACACGCAAGCCATGAGGACAAGCGCAGGGATCAAAGGCCTGACCGAGGGGGCCGTCCGGGACACGCAAGCCATGAGGACAAGCGCAGGGATCAAAGGCCTGACCGAGGGGGCCGTCCGGGACACGCAAGCCATGAGGACAAGCGCAGGGATCAAAGGCCTGACCGAGGGGGCCGTCCGGGACACGCAAGCCATGAGGACAAGCGCAGGGATCAAAGGCCTGACCGAGGGGGCCGTCCGGGACACGCAAGCCATGAGGACAAGCGCAGGGATCAAAGGCCTGACCGAGGGGGCCGTCCGGGACACGCAAGCCATGAGGACAAGCGCAGGGATCAAAGGCCTGACCGAGGGGGCCGTCCGGGACACGCAAGCCATGAGGACAAGCGCAGGGATCAAAGGCCTGACCGAGGGGGCCGTCCGGGACACGCAAGCCATGAGGACAAGCGCAGGGATCAAAGGCCTGACCGAGGGGGCCGTCCGGGACACGCAAGCCATGAGGACAAGCGCAGGGATCAAAGGCCTGACCGAGGGGGCCGTCCGGGACACGCAAGCCATGAGGACAAGCGCAGGGATCAAAGGCCTGACCGAGGGGGCCGTCCGGGACACGCAAGCCATGAGGACAAGCGCAGGGATCAAAGGCCTGACCGAGGGGGCCGTCCAGAACACGCAAGCCATGAAGACAAGGGCAGGGATCAAAGGCCTGACCGAGGGGGCCGTCCGGGACACGCAAGCCATGAGGACAAGGGCAGGGATCAAAGGCCTGACCGAGGGGGCCGTCCAGAACACGCAAGCCATGAGGACAAGGGCAGGGATCAAAGGCCTGACCGAGGGGGCCGTCCAGAACACGCAAGCCATGAGGACAAGGGCAGGGATCAAAGGCCTGACCGAGGGGGCCGTCCAGAACACGCAAGCCATGAGGACAAGGGCAGGGATCAAAGGCCTGACCGAGGGGGCCTGCCTCCCCCGGAACATGCAAGCCATGAGGACAAGGGCGGAGACAAAAGGCCTGACCGAGGGGGCCGTCCACAACACGGAAGCCATAAGGACAAGGGCAAGGACAAAAGGCCTGACCAAGAGGACCATCCAGAACACGCAAGCCATGAGGACAAGGGCAGGGACAAAAGGCCTGACCGATTGGGCCGTCCAGAAAACACAAGCCATGAGGACAAGGGCAGGGACAAACGGCCTGACCGAGGGGGCCGTCCAGAACACGCAAGCCATGAGGACAAGGGCAGGGACAAAAGGCCTGACCGACGTCCGGGACACGCAAGCCATGAGGACAAGGGCAGGGATCAAGGGCCTGACCGAGGGGGCCGTCCAGGACACGCAAGCCATGAGGACAAGGGCAGGGATCAAAGGCCTGACCGAGGGGGCCGTCCAGAACATGGAAGCCATGAGGACAAGGGCAAGGAGAGCAGGGATCAAAGGCCTGACCGAGGGGGCCATCCAGGACACGCAAGCCATGAGGACAAGGGCAGGGATCAAAGGCCTGACCGAGGGGGCCGTCCAGAACACGGAAGCCATGAGGACAAGGGCAAGGAGAAAAGGCCTGACCTAGAGGACCATCCAGAACACGCAAGCGATGAGGACAAGGGCAGGGACAAAAGGCCTGACCAATTGGGCCGTCCAGAAAACACAAGCCATGACGACAAGAGCAGGGACAAAAGGCCTGACCAATTGGGCCGTCCAGAAAACACAAGCCATGAGGACAATGGCAGGGACAAAAGGCCTGGCAAAGTGGGACGTCCAGAGCATGTAAGCCATGAGGACATGGGCAGGGACAAAAGACCTGACCGAGGGGGCCGTCCAGAATTCGGAAGCCATGAGGACAAGGGCAGGGACAAAAGGCCTGACCAAGGGGGCCATCCAGAACATGGAAGCCATGAGGGCAAGGGCAGGGACAAAAGGCCTGAACGAGGGGGCCGCCCAGAACAAGCAAGCCATGAGGACAAGGGCAGAGACACAAGGCCTGACGAACGGGGCCGTCCGGAACACGCAAGCCATGAGGACAAGGGCAGAGACAAAAGGCCTGACCAAGGGGGCCATCCAGAACACACAAACCTTGAGGAGAAGGGCAGGGACAAAAGGCCTGACAAAGGGAGCCATCCAGAACATGAAAATAATGAGGACAAGGGCAGATGGTTGGGTGGTAGGGGGTGGGGCGACAAAATGCCTCACCGAGGGGGCCATCCAGAACAAGCAAGCCATGAGAACAAGGGCAGGGACAAAAGGCCTGATCGAGGGGGCCGTCCAGAACACGCAAGCCATGAGGACAAGGGCAGGGACAAACGGCCTCACAGAGGGGGCCGTCCAGAACACGCAAGCCATGAGGACAAGGGCAGGGACAAAAGGCCTGACCAAGGGAGCCGTCCAGAACACGCAAGCCATGAGGACAAGGGCAGGGACAAAAGGCCTGACCAAGACGGCCGTCCAGAACACGCAAGCCATGAGGACAATGGCAGGGACAAAAGGCCTGGCAAAGTGGGACGTCCAGAGCATGTAAGCCATGAGGACATGGGCAGGGACAAAAGCCCTGACCGAGGGGGCCGTCCAGAATTCGGAAGCCATGAGGACAAGGGCAGAGACAAAAGGCCTGACCAAGTGGGTCGTCCAGAAAACGCAAGCCATGAGGACAAGGGCAGGGACAAAAGGCCTGACCAAGGGGGCCAGCCAGAACACGCAAGCCATGAGGACAAGGGCAGGGACAAACGGCCTGACCAAGGGGGCCGTCCAGAACCCGGAAGCCGTGAGGGCAAGGGCAGGGACAAAAGGCCTGACCGAGGGGGCCGCCCAGAACAAGCTAGCCATGAGGACAAGGGCAGAGACAAAAGGCCCGACGAAGGGGGCCGTCCTGAACACGCAAGACATGAGGACAAGGGCAGAGACAAAAGGCCTGACCAAGGGAGCCGTCCAGAACACGCAAGCGATGAGGACAAGGGCAGGGACAAAAGGCCTGACCAAGGTGGCCACCCAGAACACGCAAGCCATGAGGCCAAGGACAAACGGCCTGACCAAGGGGGCCGTCCAGAACACGGAAGCCATAAGGACATGGGCAGGGACAAAAGGCCTGACCGAGGGGGCCGCCAAGAAAAAGCAAGCCATGAAGACAAGGGCAGTGACAAAAGGCCTGATGAAGGGGGCCGTCCAGAACACACAAGCCATGAGGAGAAGGGCAGAGACAAAAGGCCAGACCAAGGCCTGACCAAGGGGGCCGTCCAGAACACGCAAGCCATAAAGACAAGGGCAAGGACAAAAGGCCTGACCAAGGGGGCCGCCCAGAACACGCAAGCCATGAGGACAAGGGCAGGGACAAAAGGCCTGACCAAGGGCGCCGTCCAGAACATGCAAGCCATGAGGACAAGGGCAGAGACAAAAGGCCTGACCAAGGGGGCCATCCAGAACACACAAACCTTGAGGAGAAGGGCAGGGACAAAAGGCCTGACAAAGGGAGCCATCCAGAACATGAAAATAATGAGGACAAGGGCAGATGGTTGGGTGGTAGGGGGTGGGGCGACAAAATGCCTCACCGAGGGGGCCATCCAGAACAAGCAAGCCATG